TGATTTTTTTTTTTTTTTTTTTGAGACAGAGTCTCACTATGTCACCCTCAGTAGAGTGCCATGGCAAAAATAACAAATAAATGTGTGTGTTATTTTAAAGCCATCAAGTTTGTGGCCATTTGTTACAGCAACCACAGGAGACTAACACAACATCTCAGAGACTGTTCTATGCCAGTGTATTCAACATCAAGTGTACTCCCTGTAATGGCTGCACAGGATTCCACAAACAATAAACAGTTATTTAGGTTGTTGCCCAATTTCTTTCCACCCCAATATTTCAATGAATAACCCTGCATTCTTATATAAATTTTATAGTTAAAAAACCAAAATATTACCCATTTTGAAAAAAATATTCGGGCGGCGCCTGTGGTTCAGTGGGTAGGGCACCGGTCCCATATACTGAAGGTGGCAGGTTCCAACTCGGCCCCGGCCAAATTGCAACAAAAAAGTAGCCAGGCATTGTAGTAGGCGCCTGTTGTCCCAGCTACTCGGGAGGCTGAGGCAAGAGGATTGCTTAAGCCCAACAGTTGGAGGTTGCTGTGAGCTATACAATACCACAGCACTCTACCGAGGGGGATAAAATAAAACTCTGTCTCTACAAAAAACAAAAAAAAAAAAGAAAGAGAGAAAGAAAGAAAGAAAAGAATATTCACAAAGACTTAAACAAATGTTATTTCCCTCCTCACAGTCCCATACTGAGGGCACAAAGGACTCTCAGAGTTTCTTGCCTGCTGACTGACAAGAACCATTTCTGCAACCAGCAGAGTTTAGTTCTGGTCCCCATACCAGCCTGCTCTCACCAGAGGGACTCAAGTGGAACCATCACCACAAGTGAAGGTAAAGGGAAGAATGAAAGTGACCTAGACACTTCCTTCTTTCACAAGATAGGAAACGGAACCACCACACACGTAAAAAATCACCCAGGTTCACCAATTCAAGCAAGAGATAATGTGCAATTACCATGCCCTCCCTCATTAAGCTACTCAAAACCAATGAAAAGGATAAAATCCAATGCTGGTGAGGCTGCAGACCAATTTGAAGACATTGCTAGGGACTATTTTTTAAAGTAGCCAACTGGTAATAGGTGGCATGAGCCTTCAAAATGATCATACCCTTGACTTAAACTCCTCAGTTTGAAAATCATATCTCAAATTACTGGATAGTAAAAAACATATACAATAGGATAACTATATATACAGCTAAGTTGGATATCATGGCTAAAATCTAGAAACATCCCTTAAGCCCAGATTCAGGAAAAAGCTGAGAAAGGCAGAGGGATGTTAGGAGAATGACAAATTTGAGGTTTATGTAGAAATGTAGAAAAAAATGCTGTTAAGCACTGAGAAGAAACACAGAACTCCGATGGTTTTACACACTGCTTACAATTGAAGAAAATTATCTGAACCTTTTATAGGTGCTAGGCACTGTGCTGGAGATCTTAGGGTGAAAAGTCAAAACAAAGGTCAGGGCCCTGGTGGGCTTACCTTTTAGCTGAGGAGACAAGGAACCAAGGAAACACATAAAGATCATATCCCTCAGGGCTAAGTGCTGGGAAGAAAGAAAGCCAGAGTAATGTGCTAGAAAGCAGATGAGCATGGCTCCTTCCGGTGGGATGGTCAGGAAAGTCTTCTCAAGAGGTGACATATAGGTTTGGCGCCTGTGGCTAAAGTGGCTGAGGCTCCAGCCACATACACCTAAGGTGGCGGGTTCGAATCCAGCCCAGGTCTGCCAAACAAAAACCATGACGGCTGCAACCAAAAAATGGCCGGGCATTGTGGTGGGCACCTGTGATCCTAGCTACTCGGGAGGCTGAGGCAGGAGACTCGCCTGAGCCCAGGAGTTGGAGGTTGCTGTGAGCTGTGATGCCACAGCACTCTACCCAGGGGGACAGCTTGAGGCTCCTGTCTCAAAAATAAATAAATAAATAACTAAGTGACACATAGGTTCAGCACCCATAGCACAGTGGTTATGATGCCAGCCACATACACTGAGGGTGGTGAGTTCAAACCTGGCCATAGCCAGCTAAACAACGATAACTGCAACAAAAAATAGCCAGGCGCTGTGGCAGGTACCTGTAGTCCCAGCTATTTGGGAGGCTGAGGCAAGAGAATCGCTTAAGCCCAAGAGTTTGAGGTTACTGTGAGCTGTGACAGCACGGCACTCTACCAAGGGCAACATAGCGAGACTCTGTCTCAAAAAAAAAAAAAAGTGACACTTCTAGTGTTCCCTGAGTTACAGGGGTTAAGTCATAAGACAACTGTGGGGAAGAACATTCCCAGGAAAAGGAAGAGCATGTGCACTGTGCAGAGAGGCCTTGAAAAAGCAACTTAGGAGGAGGAGGAGGAGGCCAGATGACAGCAGTGGACAAGAGAGAAGAATCAGAAATAATCACACAGGCCTGATCAGGTAGCGAGCATGGCAGGTGATGCAGAAGTTTTGGGGGTGGTCAGAGGGGCAGCAGAGAAGACATGAAGCAGCAAGAGACAATGGCAGCCTGGAAATGGGGGTGGAAGTGAGGATGTACTGGAGTGGCCAGATGCAGGATATGCTTATGGGTTTGCTGCTGCTCCACTAAGTCGAGGTGAGAGGAGACAGAAAGGACAATGCTGGCTCCCAGGGTGGTGGCCTGAGTGACTAGGAAAAGAGCAGGTCTAGGGGCAAGAACAAACACTGGCTTCCTCCTTCTTGCTAAACCGGGGCAGGGCTGGAGCTGTGCAGCAGTCCTGGACTTGTGCAAGCCTCAGCCCAGAGACTTTCAAAACCCTGCTGCCCCCAGCCTTGATCTTACTCAAGAAGCATCTAGATACTGATGGGGCTGTCCAGAAACACTGCAGATCTCAGATGGCCCTAAACAACCTGAGGTTAAAGGTGTCCAGGGCAGAGAAGTGCTTTCCAAGGGGCAAGGGAGGGGGAGACTGCTAGGCAGTAACCTTGTGCCAGAGGCTGGAGGCCTTTTCCAAGAAGCATCTCAGTCTTCTCAGCAAGCCTGTGAGGTAGGTCCCACACTTTACTCCATGGGACAGATAAGGAAACTGAGGGCACAGACAGGCACAATCACATGGCTAGGCCTGCAAGAGCCCCTGTACCCTGTACAGGTACCAGGTTAAGTGGGGGGCGGGGAGGGGGGGGCGGGAAGGCACTCCCAGTGGGAAACTGCTGTCCTCTGCCTTGGGGTTTGCCTGGCCCAACGCACCATTCTTGTTCCTCAGTACCCCTTCCCCCCTGAGTGTTAAAGTATTTACAGGTGAAGGCTTTGCTTCCCTGGGTGTTCCTCCTGCAGGGATGGATGGACCCTACTCCTTCCAGCGCCCCACCCCACCCCCACCCCCGATAGTGCCCAGCACTGACTGCCTTTGCCCTTATTCTTCTCTCTGTAGCTTTCCCAGGAGGGCAATGGGACAGGGACAATGTATGACTCAAAGGACTCAGGGTATCACACAGACCTGGGTGTAAAAGTCCTGGCTCTGCCTCCTTTGGCTGTGTAACCCCAGGCAAGTGGCTTGGCCTCTCTGAGTCTTGGTTCTTCACCTGTTAAAGGGAGACAATGACGGCACAAACTCCACCTGTTGCTGCTGCTGAACGGGTGAGGAAGCAAGCACCCAGCCCAATCTCAGTACCAAAGGGCGGCTCCCATCAGCGCTCCATGTTCAAGGGGGATAAGAGGACGACAGGGGCTGCCCGGCCACGCCAAGGCAAGGGACCCTGGGGGATCACTGTCCTCTCGCGTTGGCCCGCGCTGGGAGACGCTAGAACCGACAGCAACTGAGGGCTCGGCGCACGTAGCAGGACTGGACAGCGAAAGGAGGATGCCCTCTCTCCAGAGGGATCGAGTTTGGGGGACTTGGAGAAGGGGACTTACCCAACGCCCCACCAGCCCGCTGCCAAGGCTGCAACTGGGAGCCCAGCCGGGGCCAGCCCCGCCCCGCCCGTTCCGCCCCCGGCCCGGCCAAGGCTCTGTAGGCTTCTAGGCCCCGGCGGCTGTCTGGGTCCTCTGGTCCTTATTTCGCCTGTTTCCGATTCTCCCTAGAACCCCCCGCCTCGGCAGGTCCCACTCGGCAGCCCACACACTGGCCTGGGCCTCCCTCTGTCTTGAAGATGGACTAAGGTCCTGCCTGTGGGAGCGAATCACGAGAATCACGGCCCAGGACAGCCCTAGGGAAGGGTGGGAGCAGGGAGCCACTTCCTTCCTCCGGAGGGCTTGGAGGAAGGCGAACCCTCCTACCCTCCACCCCCCACAAAAAAACACCACACACGGGCACGTGGGGAAACAGAGCTGGCCTCTGGCGGCCGCAGCCCTCCTCCCAACCACCCCCTTCCTCCAACACTCCGGGTTTGTTACGCACAGCATCTTCTGTGCACGAGGCAGTGGAGGCATAAGGATCGGGGCTCCTCTAGGAAGGGGGCTGAGGCTGGAGAGGCTGTTCTGCTCAAGGGCTGAAATTAGCAAGAGGAAGGAGCCTCTCCTGGAGGCTGCGCCTCCTTGCTCCAGACCGACTCCTTCCCATCTTGCGGTCCAGCTTTAAGTCCTGCCTTGCGAGGCTTCTCCAGCACCCTGCTCACACTGGGTAATAAGTTGTTTTGTTACCTTCTGTCTTCCCCCAAGACCACTTGTCCCAAACTTCCCAGGGCAGAAGTCACCCTCTACACAACTCTCTGGTTTTGGTTTAAAGGGAGAAGAGCCTCCACTCCTTGGGGCTGTGCGAGCCTCTTGTAACAATTACCCCGAACCTAGTTGCTTAAAACAACACAACTATGCTCGGAGGCTAGAAGTCTGAAATGGGTCTTCTAAGGCTAAAATCATGGCATGGGCAAGGCTGTGTCTCCTGGAGGCTCCAGGGGGTGTCCATCCCTTGCCTCTTCCCACTACTAGAGGTGCCAGCGTTCCTTCTTTTTCTTTTTTTTTAGAGACAGAGTCTCACCTTATCACCCTTGGTAGAGTGCCGTGGTGTCACACAGCTCACAGCAACCTCCAACTCCTGGGCTTAGGCGATTCTCTTGCCTCAGCCTCCTGAGTAGCTGGGGCTACGGGCACCCGCTAGAACACCTAGCTATTTTTTTTTTTGCAGTTTTTGGCTGGGGTTGGGTTTGAACCCACCACCTCCGGCATATGGGACCAGGTTTGAACCCGCCACCCTCAGTAGGTGGGGCCGGCCCCTACTCACTGAGCCATAGGCACCTCCCCCAGCGTTCCTTTTTGCATGTCTGCTTCCTTCTACACATCACTTTTTTCCTTTTCTCTTATAAGGACCCCTGTGATTTCATCAGACCCATCTGGATAATCCAGGGTAATCTCTCCATCTCAAAAGCCTTAATTTAATCACAAGTGCAGATGCCTTTTGCGCTTAAGGCAACATACTCACAGGTTCTGGGAATTAGGACCTGCTGGAGGAGGGGAGGAGCATTATTCTGCCTCCTGTGGGGATATTGTTTCCATTGGCTTTAGCTGACTCTGCATTTCCAGTCTTGATGGGTCATAAGCTTTCTTAAAATGATTTAGTCTAGGCTTGGCACTCATAGCGGTTAAGGTGCCAGCCACATACACCCAGGCGGATAAGTTTGAACTGGACCTGGGCCTGCTAAACAACAATGACAACTGCAACAACAATAACAAAAAAATAGCCGGGAATTGTGGTAAGCACCTGTAGTCCCAGCTACTTGGGAGGCTGAGGCAAGAAAATCACTGAAGCACAAGAGTTAGAGGTTACTGTGAGCTGTGACGCCATGGTACTCTACTGAGGGTGACATAGTGAGACTCTGTCTCAAAAAAAAAAATGATTTGGTCTAGTCTATATGGTGACTCAAGCCTATAATCCTGGCACTCTGGAGCCAGGCGTTGTGGCGGGCGCCTGTAGTCCCATCTACTTGGGAGGCTGAGGCAAAAGAATCTCTTAAGCCCAAGAGTTTGAGGTTGCTGTGAGCTGTGATGCCATGGCACTCTTACCCAGGGTGACAGCTTAAGACTCTGTCTCAAAAAAAAAAAAAACATCTTGGCACTCTGGGAGGCTGATGTGAGAGGATTGCTTGAAGCCAGGAGTTTGAGACCAGCCTTGAGGCTCAGCAAGAATGAGACCCTATCTGTACAAAAAATAGAAAAAATTAGCCAGGCATGGTGGTAGGCACCTGTACTGCCAGCTACTTGGAAAGCTGAAGCAGGAATATCACATGAGCCCAGGAGTTTGGGATTGCTGTGAGCTAGGCTAAGGCCATGGCATTCTAGCCCAGACTACAGATCCAGACTCTGTCTCCAAAAAAATTCTGGTCTGATCTCCTGACTTCTTAGTCATATGTTACAACATTCTCATCCCAATCTCTAAGGCATAGTGTGGTCCATTTTAAAATTTAACCTCCTTATATTTTATTAAAAACTCTCCTCCTACTCAGAGTGAGAAAGAGTGGAGAGGAGGTGGGAACTGCTCCCTGCAGCTCCTACTCTGCATTCACTCCCCTCCAATTGGGGAAAGAAAGAGGGAACAGGTACCCAGCCTAACTGCACATTTCAAAGCTGCAATCTTCTTGTTGTTAGCTTAATTCTTATTGTCTAAACTAGTTCTTCCCATAGATATTAGCTTAGTACAGACTTGTTAAGGCAGAGCGTAAACCCTGGCACTGGCTTGGTCTTTTGGTTGAATGCTGGCTGGAGGTATCATTCAGTATTCTTTCCATGTGCTCACTTCTTTGCCCCACATTGCAATGGCCCTGGGAAAGCCTGCAACTCCCAACCTTACCTGTGATCTGAGACCTGGGGCCACCATCAGAGTTCTGTTTCCATACTTTTGGGGAACCATAATCCTAAAGGAATAGTTCAACAAGTGTAGAGAATTTGGTCATTTTCTCAACATTGCTATCTTCACCGAAATCCTTCTAGTACTCAGTCTTTTTGGAAGAGAGGGCAAGATCTCAGTTGTGTTACATCTTTAACCCTAGCTAAGAGTTGGATACATAGTAGGTATTTTCTATTACATAAATTAATAAATGAGTATAATAAGATAGGGGTGCCCACCGTCACTGCTGCTATTCAACATTATACTGAGAGTCTCAGCCAATGCAATAAGACAAGAAAAGAAACAAGTACAAAGACTGAAAAGATAAAAATTTTCATTTGTGATCAATGTGATTGTCTACCTAGAAAATCCAAAAGACCCAACAGACTAATATTGGACAGTCAGTATGTGGTAGGCCCTTTCTAGATACTTAATATAAGATGAAAGAATAGCTTTTCTTCTTTTGGGGGGGGGACGGAGTCTCAAGCTGTCACCCTAGGTAGAGTGCCATGGCATCACTGCTCATAGCAACCTCAAACTCTTGGGCTTAAGTGATCCTCTTGCCTCAGCCTCCCAAGTAGCTGGGATGACAGGCGCCCACCACAATGCCCAGCTATTTTTGGTTATAGTTGTCCTTGTTGTTTGGCAGACCTGGGCTAGATTTGAACCCACTAGCTCTGGTGTATATGGCTGGCGCCTTAGCTGCTTGAGCTATAGGCACCGCCAACAGCTTTTCTTCTTACGGTGTTCCCTTTTTAGTTGGGGAAGTAAGGTCAACAATCCTTAGGGAAAATCCAGGAGGTTCATGAACTTACCTGGGAAAAAAATTACATCCTTTTTTCCATTAACCTCTAACTAAAATTTGACATTTCCATTAGTTATCAAAATAGGTAACAAACCATGGTTGCACTAGCAATACTGATAATTTTGTCCTAATCAAAATCACAGATACTTGCAAATCACAATATAGTTATTATAGATATCTCAAAATATATTTACCACTACTCAAAATTATAGTAGTTATTGGACCAATGTCAGACTCCAGGTCTTACCCATTTCCATTTTATTTTAAGACCTTTTATTAGGTGCTCAATAAATACCTACTGAATGAAAAAAATTGTAGTAGTTATTGAGACAGCTATTAGTACTTATAGATTAATGTATTGATACTAGAAAAACTTAAGTTTTCCCTGGGGCCATGTTGTTTTCTTAGGTCAAGATAGGAAAAGAGATGAGTGAATAATATATGTTTCACAAGGCCCCAGGCTCAAAACTAGTATAAGTTAAATACAATTCATATGGCAGTTAACATAGTAATGTACTAACAATTAACTTCATAAGAAAAAACAAATAACTTCATATATTTATCACAATTTAAAAAATAATTCCAAATTGCATTTCAAGAAAACTGGTGTCCTTTGTAATAAAAGCATTCTGTTTTATGCATTGAAAAACATTACTCTGGAGCAGTGCCTGTGGCTCAGTGGGTAGGGCGTCAGCTCCATATACCAAGGGTGACAGGTTTGAACCTGGCCCCAGGCCGAACTGCAACAAAAAATAGCTCGGCTCCGTGCCTGTGGCTTGAGTGGCTAAGGCGCCAGCCACAGACACCAGAGCTGGTGAGTTCGAATCCAGCCTTGGCCTGCCAAACAATAATGACAGCTGCAACCAAAAAAAAAAAAAAAAAAAGAAATAGCCAGGTGTTGTGGCGGGCGCCTGTAGTCCCAGCTACTTGGGAAGCTGAGGCAAGAGAATTACTTAAGTCCAGGAGTTGGAGGTTGCTGTGAACTTGAAGCCACAGCACTCTACCCAGGGCAACAGCTTGAGGCTCTATCTCAAAAAAACAAAACAAAACAATAGCTGGGCATTGTGGTGGGTAGTCCCAGCTACTAAGGAGGCTACACTCTACCTCGGGCAAAAAAGTGAGACTTTGTCTCTAAAAAAAAAAAAGAAAGAAGAGAAACATTACTCTGCGAAGAGGCTCAGAAGCTTTCCCAGACGTCAAAAGCCCCAGGTTACACAAAGATTAGGAACTGTTTTAGAGGAAGGGCTTGTTCTAATGTGGGCAGTACCATTACAGTTCTGTCACACAGGAGTCCCTGCCCCACCCCATTCTTTATATTTTTCA